CCCCATACCCCGTCCGGTATGAGGGTGAAACGAGCCATCCCCATACCCCATCCTGTATAGGCGCCAAAACACATAAAGTTTTCATACCCCGTCCGATATGAGAGACCACGTTCCCGGTAGGGTTCCCTATGGACCCGGTCCGTCCACCATCTCCGAAGATATCTAGTAAGGTTATCGACATTATCTATTTATCAATTCACATACTTTTTTTCATTTTCTAAGTCTCAATTATCCGATCAAACATAAATAGGTAAACCAGTAACGGACACCAAACAAGGCAAGACAACATCGGGTTCACAATAATTCAAACCATAATAAACGAAACCATGATTCATGCATATAAAACCATAGAATAAACACATCAAGTACCAAACTGCATTCAAAACTGTAAAATAAATCAAACAACACCTTACTGGAAGATACATCAGATTCGGGCTCAATTAGCAACCTTAATTAATTATACATATCTATTAATTCATAACATACCATTTTATCATTTATTAAGCTTTAATGTCGTAATAGGAAATAGGATGAGAGATCCTTACTTATTTTGGAGTCTGAAATCGGGTTCTCACTGCGCTTACGCGCAGTCCCTAGATTCCTTGAATTTTTCTCCAGAAACTAAAACACACTTCCGGTACTTGTACATGTCCCCAAAAAATCTCAAATCAGATCCAGGGCCTTTTCGACCAATTTTGAAATTCCGGCACGGCGACTCCGTCGTGCTCCGGCGATGGCGCTGCCGCCCATGGCAGTGATCCGCCTCGGGTTGGCCGTTTCTGACCGTTTTCGGCCGTATTCGGCCAAACTTGTATTGGTTCTTGTGATAAAAAATCCCTAGGGCCCTCGATGGGCCAAAATATTACAGAAAACTGGGACTTATCGGCAGTGGAGCTCTCGGGTGCGACGGCTCCTCCGGCGCGAGTCGCGATTTGGTATTTTGCTCCGGTCAACCTGTAGAGAAAAGGACGATGGTCACAGTGGTATAAAAATTACATCGAACGGGAACCGGGAAGGACTTCATCGGAGGCAAAAATTGAGAAAACCCGCGGCTGCGCTGCTAGACTTCGGCGGTATTTCCCGGCCAATTGGCTGGTGGTTTAGCTCCGATTTGGCCACAGGGAGGTTCAGCATTGAAAAACAAGCCAATGGGATAAATTTTACCTCGTTTGGCAGCCGGAAAATCCTCTAGTGCGGCGGCGGCCAGTTCCTCCGAAGTATATATAACAAAAATTCTAAGTGCGAAAGCGAAATAAAAATTTTGATTAATATCCCTTACACAATAATCCAAACGTACTAAACGTATGAAAGAATAAACTAAATAAAGTAAATACTAGAGATGAATGTTATAAATAAAACTATGAAATCTTTAAACATCTACTCGCCGCCTTCCGGTGGGACAGGCTCGGGAGTCAAGTCTTCCTGATATGAAATTGTTAAGTAAGGAATGAGTTATACTAGCCCAGTAAAGACATCACATTATCTTACTGTTACAGAAATAAAAGTTGGTAGAAAATAAAAACGACCAATGGAGCATAATTTATAACAAAATCATTTATTAATAATAAAAACATTTACTATCCACTTACCTCGGTGAGGTTCATGAAAGTAACTTATGAGAAATAATAACATTATAAACATCATAAGATCATACACACTCTGTAACATAACACATATTATACTTTTGTATTTCAATCATCAGACAACAACTTTCCTCTTTTATCAGCCTACTAGTATCCATAGGGAGTCCCCGCTACACGTGAACCATTCACATTAATAACTTAATTCCAGGGCCGTCCCCATATAGGGTTCTGGCGGCTAGGGTTTGGGGTTGGGTGTGGATGCGATTATTTATAACATTCCCCTTTTAATCTGAGCCGTCTATCACGATTTAATCTGAACCGTCCGATCGCGATTAAATTAAAAATAAATCTGGACTGTCCATTGCGATGAGATCTGGACCGTCCGTGCGTGATCAAATCTGGGCCGTTCACACGTGTGAGATCTGGGCCGTCCATGTGCGCTTTTGATCTGGGTCGTCCGTGCGCGCGGGAACGGATCTGGGCTGTCCGATCGCACGCACACGGAGCACCCACGTGTCTCCGTCCCGCATGGCTTCCCGCGTCAGCATCCCTGCCACGCGGCGTGTCCTGGTTGGCTGGGACTGCTAACCGGGCTGCTGACGTGGCTGTTGACGTGGTATATTTTTTTAAATTACGTTTCGACCCCCGATTTTCGATTTTCTTTTCAAAAACACCCACAGAATCCAAATTTTTACCTTTTGTTTTCAAAAGCAATTTCAATTAAATCTCAAAAATAATTTTACCCCATTTTATTATTATTATTATTTTTATTTCTATTAAATTAAATTAAATTAAATTAAAACATATTGTTACAAAATAAATTAATTATTAAAATAAAATAAACCAAAATAATTCCAATAAAAAATAATAATAATAATAAAGGTTTGGGTGTTACATATATGAATTGTAATTTAGTAAAATATAACTTTACAATGTTTAATAAGTAAATATTTGATTAATATCTTTTAATATTAATAAATAATTTTATTAGTAATTATATATTATTAATGAATTAACTCGTACTAATTATAATTATTATTTTTATACGAGTAATTTATTAATATAAATAACTCAATATATTGTTAAAACTTAATTTATAAAAGACTAAAATAATATTGTTTGTGTTAGTAATTTACCAATATGAATAGTTTAATTATTTTTTAAAAATTAAATTAATTTTTATTTTTTTAAAAATGAATACAAAATTGTTAATTTATGTATTATTTATACAAATACTAAATATTTAACGGAATAAATATATATTTTACCCCATCATATATTATATTATATTTATTTATTTAATTTTACCATAACGCTTATTGGCTGGCTGCGTTTTAGTGGTGGGGTCAGGGGTTGACACACACAGCGACTGGGAGTGGACAACCGCCGGTGGGTCCCACCACGCACAAGTGGATGGATCGTATCTTTCTCCATTATTTTAATTTAAAATTAAAAAAAAATATGGAATTTTCCTATTTGTTGGGCGGGTTTGTGCTGCATGCGTATTATTTAAATCAAATAAAATAATTAATGTTGATAATTTTTTTAATATTCATAATATATATATTTTATATATACACACACACTGTAATGGTGGATACACGGCAGCACACTTTGGACTTACCCAGAAGGCAATATTCTGAATAAAATACGAAGAATTTTTTAATTTATTTTTACCAATTATTTCTCTTTAAAAAAATATATAATAAAATGGTCAAAGTTGCAATCTTAGTCATCATCAATGAGTA